TCATTTAACATCACAGGCGGATCCATTATGGATCCCGGGATGCCTCTCAAAAAAAATTTATTAGTGTTATTTTTTTCGGAAAAATTCGTTTTATGTTGGGGTTTTAGATTGGAAAAAAATTGGACTACCCTAAAAAATTTCAGGTTATTTCTAAATGGTCCAAAATACAAATTAGCCCAAATGGTTCAAAATTTTAAACCCCCACTAATTAATTTATTGAAACAAAGATGTATTAAGCCCAATAGTCTAATGATAAAAAAGGACGTAATAGAATTGTGATCGTTGGTCGACTTCTCTCAATTGTCGAAGTTGTCTTTTGCCATTTCCTACGATCGTCGGCATTAACCTTCTCAATTGTCGTCGCCTACAGAATTCTAGCCACCTCCTCGGCTCCTCAATCACAATGAAACAAGTTAGTATAACCAAAACACTCATCCCTATTATGTATAAGTTAATTCAAAATCCAATTTTTTGTCATTATGTTCGAAAAATTAGAAATTAACAATTAACTTTGTTAATTTAGGACTTTGGGTTAATACTTAATGATTATTTGCTGTTGAAACTTGAAATCAAGTTATAATTGATATATTTTGATTGTAGATTGCTATTTGTTCATTTGTTGTTGAAACTTGGAATAAAGATTATAGTTGATATATCTTGATAATTGATAATTTGACTGTAGGTTGTTATTTGTTGACTGTTCTGAAAACTTGAAATCAAGTTTATAGTTCATTTATTTTGATTGTAGGTTGCTCTTAAAAGTTTTTTCAAAAGATATTTAGATGTTGAAGACAACAATAGTGAAGAAACTTCCAAAAAAATAGGGTTAATGAAAGTAATCAAGTTCCACAAACTAATCAACCAATGTCAAAACCACAAGAAACACAATCTAATGAACCTAATTAAGTTCCACAAACTAATCAACCAATGCCAAAACCAAAAGTGACACAATCTTTTGATTTGAATGATCTTCCTTCGGACTCGGGGGATAGGCTAAAGATTACATTTTATAATCCTAATCAAAGGGATGAAATAAGGACATATTTGATTAAAAGGTCGTCATCGATATCGTATTTTCCAACAATAACTTGAGTACGGCTCAGGTGAGAAAACATAAAATATTTATTCCTTTAAAGTTTAACACGATATTAGTTTTATTTTTATTTATTATACTTGTTTTATGAATTTTTTTAAATATATAGGAGAGGGGGAAATGTTATGATGGAGCAAGTAATATGAGTGATGCATTTAACATTTTAAAATCTTTGATTTTAAATGAAAACAGTTCCACACATTATATATATTGTTTTGCACACCAACTTCAATTAGTGGTTGTGGCGGTTGCAAAGAAACATGATGATGTTGAAGAATTCTTTGAACAACTAGCTTTACTGGTTACTGCCATTTCTGGGTCTTGTAAGAGAAAATATATGATACAAGAGATGCAAAAAGAAAGAGTGGCAACTGAAATTGTTATTGGTGAAACTGAACCAGGAAGAAGGTTGAATCAAGAGATTTCTCTTGTTCGAGCTGGAGATACTAGATGGGGTTCACATTTTAGAACAATTGTAAGTTTAGTGAATTTGTTTGCAGAAGTTGTTGTGGTACTTAAATATGTCAAAAAGAAGGGGTCTACATCATCTAACTCTAATCAAGCAAAGAGTATTTTGTCATATTTCAAGACACTTGATTTCGTGTTTCTTTTACACTTGATGGTGGAAATTCTGTGACTCACAGATACCTTGTCAAAGCATCTTAAAAAAAAGTTCAAAACATTTTGGAAGCAACTTAGTTAGTAAAGGGGACAAAGAAAACATTGCTACTTTTTAGAAAAGATGGGTTTCTACAAAATTGGAAGAAGGTATGTGCTTTTTGTGAAAAACATAGTATTGGAATTGTGGACATGTCAGAATATTATGTTACCCACGCAAGCGTAGGACCAATAAGACTAATCAACATCATTTTGAAGCTGTGATTTTTAACACGATTTTAGATATACAAATTCAAAAATTTGGTGATAGATTTAGTGAAGTTGAAGTTGATGGAGAACATGGCGGCTTTAAGTCCTTGTGACCCATTTTCTAGTTTTGATAAAACAAATTTTTTAAAGCTATGGAAGATATAAAAACACGATTTTGAAGATTCAGAAAGGGCGCAACTTAATGGGTAACTTGATATTTATTATCACTCTTTGCTTCATGATGAGAGATTTTACAACTTGAAGGGAATTGCAGACCTCTCTCGTTTGTTGGTGGAAACCGGGAAGCACCTCTCTTTTTCTTCGATTTATAGATTATTAAAACTAAGTTTGGTTTTGCTCGTCGCAACAGCAACCGTTGAACGATGTTTTTCTGCAATGAAGTCCTTAAAGACTGATTTGCGTAATAGAATAGATGACGATTTTATGAATGAAGCTTTGATTTGTAGTGCAGAAAAGGAAGCACAAAAGAATGTTAAGACTAAAAATGTAATTAATTACTTTCGTAAAACGAAAGAGCGAAGATGTGAACTTTAAAACATAACTTTGTTATGAAAGTTTGACTTTATATCTAATGAAATTGCGGTTTTTTTATTGTATATTACAGAAAAACAAAAAATTGGGATACTCCTTTACTTTGACCATGGCTTCACCACTATTTAACATGTTTATAAACATAAAGAAACGAACATGAACAATAAAATTTGTTAAACAAATGAACATGAACAAAAAAACTCGTTCGTTTATTTGTTCTTGTTCATTCATTTGTTCAGCTAACTCAAACGAATGAACATGAACAAACCCTTGTTCTATAACACCATCCTCTAATATGGGGGATGTTATATGTTACATATTCGTTCGGTTCATTTACAGTCCTACTTCTAACCCACTATTTATTTATTTTTTAACTTAAAATATTTACTAATTTAAAACTACAAAAACTAAAAATTAAATTAAAAATAACATTTCATGAAATAAAACATAAAATAGAGTAAATTATTGAAATCGTCATTATGGTTTGGTCAAAATTGTACATTTGGTCCCTAATTTTTTTTTTGCACTCGGATCGTCTCCGTGGTTTGATTTTGTTGCATTTTTCGTCCTCTACGTACATAAAATTAGGGACCAAACGTGCAATTTTGACAGAATAGGTAAGAAAAATGCAAAAAAATCAAACCACATGGATAATCCGAATGCAAAAAAATTAGAAACCAAATGTGTAATTTTAACCGAAGCATCCGGAAAGTTTCAATTATTTACTCCCTAAAATACTACAAAAGGGTTAATAACATGATAAAATGACAACGCCACCTTTTTTTTCGGCCATTTCTTTGACTTTTGTTGTATGGTATAATCCCCTACAGTATCGATGAAAGCTTCGTTGTAGATTATAACCCATATTTTTTTAAGGTTTGTCGTCAGTTTCTAGATTTTGCACTCACAAAATTGCGATATTTCGGGAGGAGAATATTGTAACTGAGTTTCCGAAATAGATTTTAAATACTGAGGATGTTATTACAGAAGTACACAATCAACAAAGTAATGAAATAAAACAAACTAAATTCAGATATATTCAATATACAAGAATCAAATTTACAGAAAACATACTTGTTTGATGATTACACAGAATTATAACAATGAAATTGTAGAGATTGAGGCCTGCTTTAGCAGTGTCCTAAGACAGAAATTTCCCTGGGATGGGTTTGTCTTGAGGATACAACAATCCAATTCAAGAGCAGGTCTTGAATCTGTCGAAATTCACCATGATCCCTTTGGAAAGATAGACGATTTTTTTGAGAGAAAGTTTGTGTGTGTATATTAGCCCTCAAATTCTGTCCAGATCCTTTCATTTATAGGCTGCTAATGGTGGTTGTTAACCACCAACCGAAATTAACTGCCAAAAACTGTCTGCAGTTAATCCTCTATTTAACAGAATTTATTTTTTACTGAATTAATAAAAAGATTAATTAAGGACTAATTAATTTCGGATTATATATTAAAAAAAAAAATTATTTAGTCAAGAAGAGCCCAAAGGCCCAAGGCCCTATCTTTGACCATTAATATTTAATAATCCAAGCCTACTACTAGCCCAATTAGACTAGTCCAACACCACAACCCAAACCCAATTTGCTTAACCCATTACTTGGTCCATTTGAACAAATGAGTGGGACAAGCCTTATAAGGTGGGAAAAGGTTTCCTCTTTCACCAATGTGGGATAAGTCCCATATTGTAATTTTATAAAGTTCCAACAGGGGATACAGATTATAACCCGTATTTTCTTAAGGAATATGAAATTGGTTGCAGGATTGTTGCATTGGCAGTGAGCTATATTGTTGGTAGTGGGGAGTAGTTACGGATTTGGGTTTCCGGAGCGGAAAATGACACATCTTGAGAATCCATGTCATTGTGCCAATTTTATCTTTGGCTAGAACTATTTTTTTGGATTTGCCACGAGAATCCATTTGAAATGGAATTGGAATGAATCAGATTAAATGAGAATGGAATTAGAAATAATAGGAATGTAATAAAATTGGAGAAAAGGTGCGGCTGAAGCCGTTCCACTCCGTCCATCTAAGTGTTTTCATTTCAACAATAATAGTACTAAACGCGATCTAATGATTCAAACTCAATAATATTTTATTTATTTCACGAATACCAATCAAAACGTGGGATTTCTTTTTATAGGATCAGTCCATTCATAGTTATTATAGCCCGGTTTCTCGACTTACTGTTTCAAAAAAAGCCCGTAAGGATCAGCCCATATGTATACTAGGAATAGGAATGTAACATAATACCAAAAGGGCACAATCAATTCCATACTTCCATGGACCAAAGAAAGCTCCCGAATAAAAAGCCGAACCACCTCACGACAACGTGCCCCTCAAGGAGGGAGCAAACATCCATGAAGATCAGATAGACCCCAACAAGCCTAAAACCCTAAAAGGTTTAGGACCATGAAAGAAAGCAACCACACACCATGAACATTGAACGGCTATGAATGCAACAAATCCACTTGGTCCTTGGCAAACATATTATCACAAAACAAAGATCACAATACCACAACTTCATACAAATACAAACATACATTATACACAATACATGTTTATGCATTTTTTATTACAATAATATTAATCACACAGGAAAAACATAAAGCAAACCACAAACCATAATACATACACATCAGTTCCAAGGACATGAAGCCATGTCCCATTTTATTACAAACAAACCATAATCACATATGCAAATAACAGGAAACACCACCTAACGACGGAAGCTTCTGGCAGGACGTGGTTCCTCACCCTCACCCGCCTGAAGTTTGACCAACGTGTAGACTCCAGCTCCGGCGAGTGCACCAAGTGTGGGTGCCAGTAAGTAGAGCCATATCACCTTGTAGTTCCCCGCTGCAACCGCTGGTCCTAGTGTCCTCACCGGATTCATTGAAGCTCCACTCGAAGGCCTACCAAACCCATCATTATCAAACAAAAATCTCATTTCACGTTTCCTAATTACAATATTTATATCAATAAAGCTTCTCACTTACCCAGCAACAAGAATGTTGAGCATAACAGTAGCTCCGACTGCGATCCCCGCCAGTTCTCCCACCTGAGAATACAAAAATGTAAAAAACAAAGAAAGGTAGACGATAAATGGTTGGTTATAGTTATTTTAATACTTACAGCGCGAGTGTCAGTGGCGACTGCTGTGACGACAAACAGGAGATTAAAGGTGATGAGGAACTCCAGGGCGAAAGCTTGGCCGGTGCTGATGGAAGGGACGGTGACGCCACCGGACATGAAGGGATGGAAGACGCCTTTGAGAGCAAACGAAGCACATATGGAGGCTGAGACTTGTGCTAAGATGTACGCCGGGACTTGTGCCCATGGAAAGTGACGGAGTGCTGCAAATGCGATGGTGAGAGATGGGTTTAGATGGGCTCCGGAGATATGACCGGTGGACAGAATTATTATCATCACCGCCAGCCCTGCACATGCTGCATTCCCGATTAGTGTCTCCGATCCTGCGTATTTCTCGTTGACTATTGGTCCTGCTGTTGCTGCGAATATCAAGATAAATGTTCCCACAAATTCTGCTCCCAACTGCATATTTATATCCGATCACAACAAATCAAAATTTAGCTGATGATTAATCGTCTGGAAGAGATTAAGGAATGAGTGGGAGGTACCTTTCGGGTGAGAGAGACGTCCGGAGACGGGAAATCGGTGAAGCAGGTGTTAGATGCACCGCCGCCGCATGATGGTGCACAAAGAGGCATACACTTGCCACGGGGCATTGACTTCCGTTCATATGACAAAGAGTCCACTCGAAGAGATGTGAACAACGGAGCCCCGGGCGTTCCAGGTGTTGCCGGTGCTGATACCGGTGGCGTTGGTCCATCGCCGCCGTCCATTTTCGATATGTCTCTTCCCTCTTAAATATCTATGCTATTGACTAACTATAATTTTCTTTTTTTTTTTTTTTTTTTTTTTGGGTTTTCAACTAGGATCAAAAGATCAGTGGCAAAAACCTTACATAATTTGTAGATTTTTATAAAGGTATTGCTACACAATCGGCTGAATTCGATCCAGTTCGAAACTAGATCTCTTTTTTTTTTCAAATTTTTTTTCTTTTCAACAGAAGAACCCGATGGATTGCCTAAATTTACATACTTGGGAGATTTTTATAAATTTTCGATTAAGGAAGAAAGATTTTCAAGATAGCCAGACTGAACAACTTGACTAGATACAAGAAAGATACAGCTTCAAAACAAAAATCATAAATGTATGCTAAAAAATTCTTTTTTTTTCTGGGAAATCGAAACGAAGTTACATGCTTACAGGGTTTTTATAAAGGTATGATCAAGGAAGAAGACGAAGAAGAAGGGAGCGATCCAGGTTGAACACGAACTGCGTATATATATAGTGAAATTGTTCTAAAATTAAATAAGCAAAAAGCTGCAATCTGCTACCTGCTCACTCTCGAGGAATCTGTGGGGCGTCTTTACTTGTTAAATTGTGTGTGAAGGTTTTGAGAGTGTATGTGGGTCATGTATATAGTAAATGAAAATGAAAGAGCAAAAGAGAAGAGAACTAAAAGTCAACTCTTAGCCAATCAACTTAACAGCCTATCAGATTCAACTCCAAGACACGATGCAACTGCTCATAGCACCCGATAATAGCTATATCTATTATTTAAAATTATTATTTTTTTGTTTGACAACTTTAATTATTTACAACTTCAATTATCATTCTAACGAACATTGCATACATACTATTATTATAATACATGAGGTCGATGCATGTACCTCTGAACAGTATAGCTTTTGTTTGTTTTGATTGCGTTTTAAAAGTTAACATTTCTTGGAATTAGTTTTTAAAGAGATTTTATGTTTATTTCGTTAATAAATACTTTGATTGGTCGTTAAAAGGTGGCTTTAGAGAGGTGGGTATAGGCAACCGGCGTTATTAGGTGTTATAACATATGAACACCGTTCCTTTCCCCATTATTAGACGTTATTAGTCTGCGCGTTGCTCCCTATTACCACCATAATACATTATAACGAACGCTGGTGGACAGTGGCGGAGCTTGAACAATTATCTAGGGGGGCGAGAGTCCGTTGCTAATCTCTAGGAATTTCCTTTGTTTTATGTGTTTTGTTTCCATTCAGATTAGATTGAGAATCTCAAATAAACACAATAGAAAATTTGCCCCAAAGGTTTCCCCTGTTTCTCTTTTTCCCGTGTTTCTTTGATTTTAGTCATTTTAGAGCTCCAGGAGGTTGGTTTCTCATATACTTGCTATTCCAACATCTAAATGAAGAGGCTATAAAAGTGATGAACCCATGAACTCTAATCACATTTTAAGGTAGATATTATCAGAGAATTCTGCTAGGCAGAAGTTTTACCTTGTGGGAATCTTATGCGCTGCTTAAACTACAGCTGTGTGCATATCAGTGAAGGCTTGATTATGTGTCAAAGGTGATTTATGTGAATAGTTTTAGGTGTTAAATCAACAAAGAAATCTCCTATCAATTTTGTAGCTCAAAACAAAAACTTCATATAACTTATTTGCAAATAAATTAAGCCCTAATTAAGTGACTTGCGATCCAAACTCTACATTAGCAAGATCAAAACTTTGTTTAAAGGAATATAACACCTGAAACAACTCCACAAGAACATAGATATCTTACAATCTGGCTTCAACAGGTCAGTAGGTTTTGCACAGTCGAAATATCACCACGCAACTTACAATTGTCACAATAGAATATCCAAGTTTGTTCATATAGCTTTTCATTCAGGGGCCTCAGGAGAAACTCACAAATTGACAGGAGTAACTCTAACCCCTAATTTGGAGTTTGGACCAAGAGAAAAAAGGAGTCAGAACTTAGGAGAAACTCGCAAACAGCAACAACAACCAACAGTGCTGCACAGCAGGCAGCAACAAGTGAACTGGAAAGAAAGAACAAGATTCGGGATTCCATACCTGATTTTTGGTGAATGGCGCTTAGTGATGGGCGATTGCGAGAGTGAGAGTGTGAGACCAAGCAACTGAAGCGAGTGACTCAACAGGCCAACAACGACAGCAGGCAGCAGCGATTCAGAGAACAAAATTGGGGAAGAACCGATTTTGATTTCTATTTCTTGGAGATTTCGGATTGCTTCTTGGAATGTGGATTCGGGAGGGGCCAAAGCCCAAGTTTGAAGATAACAGGCCTGTAATTAAATTTTTTGAAGTATAATTTCTATCTCTAGCCCAAAAATCAGGGGGGGCCACTGCCCCTCCTGGCCCCTTAAATACTTCGCCCCTGCTGGTGGGGGCGTTGTCACACCTACCAGTCTTATAAAAATGGATTTTAATGGTAGGTGAACCTTTCGTAAAATTCAGCTTGGACTAAAAAAAATATTTTTATATTAAAGAAGAGTAAATTACAGTTTTGGTCACTCTATTTTGCTCCAATATGCACATTTAGTCTGATGTTGGGAACATTTATATGGTTGGTCAATGTGGTTTTCAAATCTTGAACCAAAGGCCCCGCAGGCATTATCATCTATAATTCTATGTTGTAAATGTTAAATTACAAAATTGCCTTTGTATTTGTCTTTTTCTTATTTTTCTAAATTTTAATTAAATGATTAACCCACCACCATCACCAATACCAACACCACCTCATCATCCACCACCACCAACCACCGGGAAACAACCACCACACCACCAACCACCAATCTACATCGTTGCCATCGATACTGTCACCAACCACCAACCCCACGACCAATTGACCACTAATGTAATATACTCCCTAGTACTTTTTCCCTAGTTTCTTCCGACAACCACTCTAACCCTCCCCATTTATCATTATCAAAGTTGAAAACATAAATCTAGGAAGACCACAAAAAATGCAATTCAATAATATCTTCCTTTGCAACATGTTTGGTTGTTTCTCACAAACATTACCGCAATCACTATTCCAAATAATTACCAAACAAAGTATGGACACAAACATTACCAAACAAATTCTAGACATAAACATACCACATCCAATTGAATAACATAATTCAGGACTCAAACTTTACAAAGAAAATTGAAAGACATTTATTCAACACAAACATAACCAAGTAACTTGAAAAATATTTTTTCGATACAAACATCACCAACCAATATCAAACTGAATGTTAGATATATAGATTCAGAATACCAATTAACACTTGGATAATTTCTAGGATTGTAACTATATCACATTCCGAAATCTGTAATTCGTCCGTACAGCCTAGGGTACACGAATTCAAAAGTGAGATAATCTAAGAACTTCAATTCTAATTATAGGCCTAATCAGAATTAGACACACATAACACCTATTGTGATATGTTTTTGAGAGACTGAGAGATGCTAATGATCAAATTCGAGTATGAAAGTTGTAACCTTTTCCTGGAACATTCATCTTCCTTTTATATAAGGAAGAAAATGGTTAAATGGTGGTAACACACCATATTGGTGAAAAAAAAAGGTTGGTTAAGGGTAGTTATTAGACAAAACTGTAGCCGGCAGCACCGCTAGGGGAGCTACCACTTGGAAACCTATACCTAAGGCTGTTGCCCCTAGACCCCTGTATTCCTATTATTCCTATTATGTCTCCATATTCCAAAACAAAATTTTCATTTAAATAAGTTTAACCATTT